AATCTGTATTTAACTTGTGCAGTGAGCACTATTGTGTTATTTTACACTTAATTATTACATTTCTGCACCTGAATGCTACTGTTACTGACTTTATTTGTAACTGTGTTTTGTTGTATTCATCTATGCTTGTAATTTGTGTAATTGTTCTTGTTTTATTACTAGCTTTATTAGTTAAGCTAGTAGTTTTTTTTGCTGTGGTATAGAAGTACTTAAAGTAAGCTTTCACAAATTATTATTTATTTATTTTTTTTGCTGATCCAAAAAATGATCCGATCCGTGACTCAAAATCCATAATATGATCCGAACCGTGAGTTTTGTGATCCGTTGCACCACTAATAAATTGCATAAAATATTTAAAAGTAATCTCATACTTCATATATTAAGTATGAGATTTATTTATTTATTCATTTATTTATTTATTAAATTTTTACGTTTCAAAGGTGGATTGAAACACCTTCTATTTCTTCCCCACAGAAATAAAGCCATATTATTTTACTTCAATATTTTACAATGTGCCAATCCTACAGTCCTCATTAACCTCCAGTGCCCTACAACTCAGGTAATACAGACACTATTTGCAAACCACCTGTCATTCTCTCTAAGCTGGAATGTTCTGTATTTAGCACTGGCTTGTTTTGTAACTGATGCCTCTCTTTCTCTCTTATTCACCCCAGCTGTGTGTATCCAAGTGCCCAGACAGATTTGCCACATACATCGACATGCAATACAACTATAGACGCAATAAGAGCTACTGGGATTACTACAAGCTATTCTGCAAGCCGGGCTTCAACAATCCTGATAAGGTACCATGTGGAAACTAGAGAGTATCTGCAAGAACCTAAACTTTGTTTAAATTCAGTGATCATCACATGCACACTGAAGTTTGAAAACTCTTGAAACAGGGTTCCCACAGCCGTGAATTTGTACGATTTTATTTTCTAGGTCTGGAAAGGTCACGGAAATTAATACAATCTTACAAGTAAATGACATTTTTAAAGTGAATGTCTTATTTGTAAGCAAATCTTTCTTTTAAGATGGTTATTTTCAATTTGCTGAGCTGACTCATAAATGAATAAATAGTTTTTTAGCTAACTGATTTAATAATTCATTAAACATGAAATAATATAGTAATAATTCATAGAATAATCCTTATCTAGTAATCACAAACTACTTAAAAATTCATAGAAATTCATTCGTTAAAAGAGTGCAGGAACCCTTTTATGTCTAGAGGAATATTATGCCTGTTATGGTCAGATACATGAGCATTTTTGATGACAATGTTTCATCTTAGCAGGCCGATACTTCACACATGTACACTCCAGCAGGTGCCTACATTTCTTTGCGTGTCGTTCCCCTGAGAGGCTTATCACCTCTCAGAAATTTAAGCCTTGAAGATAAACGAGCAGACAGACACAAAGCATGTCCTCGACATCTTATAAATACTTAAAAATTAAGTGGGATTTTTATTTTTTCGTTATTCTTTGCTGTTCCATCAGTTCTCCAGAGGTGCTTTCCCGATTTCATCACCAGAAACGGGACATTAACTGTTGCCAACAAAACAAGCTTCAAGGATGGACACGGTAAAATCAGAAGTGTCGTCGATCTGAGAGATGCAGCAAAGTAAGTTCACTTATTAGTAGTGCTTAGTGCATAGCACCCATATAAGACTACCACCGTACTAGTCTTCCACCAGCCTGTTAAGTAGATGTTGGACTGGTGTTGCACTGTCTGTATGGCTTCAAAATTGCTCTCATTGAGAGTAACACGAATAGGAGGACTAGCTATTCAAATATTGTTATATAATGCCACTAAACTACAGTATATAATTTACTTGCGTAATTATATTACATATAATTTAAAACCTGTGCTAGTTTCACTTGTATCACTCCGCAGTCTCTGTCTTCTTCCATAATAAAATCATTTCATCTCAAATCAATGTTTCATGTATAATTATATATTTATTTGGTTAAGTAGCTGTGTTTTAAGTGGGATAATATACAGTCAGTCGGTTACCCATGCAAAATAAACCCCTTCAGAGTCTCGATTGTCAGTGCTTATTTTGAGGTAATAACTGGCTGACTATACATTATCCCATATATATGAGTCTAAAAATATCTTCTGGCCTGCATAAAATCGCTCCGCTCTTCCTAATTAGATATAGTGATTATTAATTAATGAATGCTCTTCTGAAGGAGCTCTCAGTTTCCATTTTAGTTGTATGAGTCAGAGTTTAAGTATACGCTACCGTTCAAAAGTTAGGGGTCGGTAAGATTTCTTAATGCTTTTGAAAGAATTTCTTGATGAATAGAAGATTCAAAAGAGCATAATTTATTTGAAACAACTTTTCTTTTAATATTATACATGTTTTACTATTTTGTTTTATATCAATTTCATGTATCCTTGCTGAAGAAAAGCATTAATTTCTTTAAAGAAAAAAACTGACCCTAGACTTTTGAATGGAAATATCTTGCATCTTGATATAAAAAATATGTGCATTTGTACAAATACAGCAGGTAAACAAAGAATACAGTTATTTCCAACATTTCTTCCTAAATATACTGTCTTTCCATCCAGGCAAGAGAGGACCGTTTTATCTGGGTATGACATTTGGGCTTACAAAAGGTCAGAGAGAATCTGGCCTTTTAAGCAAACAAGTCAAGCTGTGCATGTTCGCATGAGTTTGCTGCTGCTATAATAGCACTGATTTAAACACCTGGGGTGAAAGGTCACACGGTGTATTTTCTTATTTTAGCAGGCAGGTTTCTTGTAACTAGTCTGCAAGACAATGTTCACACAGGATGTGTTCTTACGTCTTTGCCATCACATCACATCTTGGTAATATTAGTTTAAAGTAGTTTAGCTTTTTCCATCTAGCTGTTTTTTAATGCAAGAATGTGTCCTGTGTGAACAGGCCCTAACAATTGTACTTTTGGATTGAGTTTCACTCACAAAAACAGGCACTTTTATACTCTAATCTGCGGTTGCTTTTTGCAACTCTTTACCTGATTGCAGAAAGCCAAGGTTTTTGCTTCATGTGTGTCTTTTGTAACATGCTCAATGCTTCTTCTTTTTGTAGCAAAGTTACGGCTATGCAGCAAGGAACAGAAAGGTCTCCATTTCTTGTCATCTTTGAAACTCGACCTTGTCCTTCGCTTATCTACGAACTAACCTCCCTCACCGCATTTCTGCACCTGCTGCCTCTCAAAGAATCTGTAGAACAGAAAAAACACATCTCTGTATGTTTTTTCCCCTTGTCAAAACTGAGGTCACTGACAAAATCCCTCAGATGTCTTTCTGCTGAAAGAGCTTTTTAAGAATATAATGGCAAACGCAAGTGAGGAAGATGTGATTTAATGTCATCGCAAGGTCGTTTTGTACATGAACTACATTGATCGTGTTTTCAGCAAGGGAAAATTGAGCGTAGGAGTTTAAAATGCAGATGTTAAAATTGGGACACAGAGCTCTTCTCCATTCACCTAAAGCTTCTCTGCTATAGGGAAACACACTTTTCATCAGCATTACTTGGAGAACATTTTTCGGTTTGATTAAATTAGTTGAGCTGATTTCAGTATAGTGCAGCTTTCCAGCAGCAGGCTACTTTTTCGAGCAAGTAGTGATGAAACATGACAATGCTGGGTTTTTTGGGTTTTGTTTTTTTGGATTTTTTTGCAGACTCATGCTCCCATATGAATCATTCATGATTCTTTGAGTTCCTGCCAAGGTGTCTGCACTGAATTTTTTTGTAGCAATGTACATCTATTCTACTTTTTCCCCCTTTACAATAATTATACAAAATTATAGCTAAGTATAGATAACTGCATTTATTAAAAAGTAGCTTCAATGTAGTTTAACCCAACTTTAAATTGGGTAGCTTTTAGCTCGACTAATTAGTTTCAAAATAGCTTCTGTAACATTGCTGCTATCCTTTTCAAACCTACCTCACTTCTGTACAAATCGGTGAATATCACAAAACTATATAAAATATACCCAGCTTACAAGTAATAAAATCAAATGTTAAATACACTACCATTCAAAAGCTGCATTTATTTGAACAAAAATACAGTAAAAACAGTAATATTGTGAAATATTATTACAATTTAAAATAACTCTTTTTGTATTTTAATATATCTTACAATGTAATTCATTCCGGTGATGGCTAAGCTGAATTTTCCTCAGCCAGCCCACTACTTCAGTCTTGAAGTCAGTGTCACACAATCCTTCAGAAATCATTCTAATATGCTGGTTTGGTGCTCAATAAACATTTCTTGTTATTATCAGTGTTGAAAACAGTAGTGCTGCTAAATATTTCTGTGGAAACCGCAATACTTTTTTGTAACATTATAAATGTCTTTACTGTCACTTTTAATCAATTTAATGCATCCTTGCTGAATAAAAATGTTGATTTCTTAAAGTGCCCCTATTATGGATTTTTGAAAATTACCTTTCATGCAGTGTGTAATACAGCTCTAAGTGAATGAAAACATCCTGCAAAGTTTTAAATCTGAAAGTGCACCGTGTATAAAGTTATTGTCTCTCAAAAGAAAGAGTCGACTTTGAAACAAGTCGTTTTTAAAACAAATCCCAAGCCGTTTCATATTGATCAACATGAAACTTTTGCATATTGCCCGCCCACTTGTTGCAGGTGCAGACCCGGGAAAACATTCATTCTTTGCCACTAGGTGCCACTTTTGGAGCGGTAAAAAAAAAAATAGCTGTTTCCCCGGTAACGGCTGTAAACAAAGCAGCACTGCGCTCACAAACGCTGATTTATCAGGCATCACAGTCAAGATGTAATGGAAATTAAATTCACCAATCGGACCAATCACCGCAGATTAGCGTCACTCAAAGGAGGGGTTTGGAAAAATGAATCGTTGAGCGAATCGTTTGGGAGTCATTGAGCAAATAAGGTAAAAATAAATGCATATAATAAGACAATTAAAGTGTTCTTTTAACCTTGCATGCATGTCAACCTGTTGATGGGGACTCCCAAAACCAAAATATGAACCTTTCATTACCCATAAAAGGGGCACATTAAAAACATTCCAATGGTAGTTTATGTAAAAGCACTTCTCTCACCATAATACACACTATATTAATTTTAGTTTGGCCTGAGTAAAAACAAGACTGTGTGGGATAGAAATAAAGTCTGTTGTTTTTCCAAAACATTTCAGCTAGACTAAACATTTTTTAAAACATTAAGAAAATTAGATGTGTCCAGTGACCTTTTAAACAGTACAATATATTGCACTGACTGTACTTCTGTCTCTCAAAGCATCATTTTCAGTTGTGTCAGATTCAATAACTTTGACTAAGTTCTTTAACCCTTCACCTCCACTGTAGTGTGCCATTGCTTCTTAGTTTAATGAAGAAAGGACTGTATATAGCATGTTTATGAGATAAACCTCCCCATAAACTGCTCTGTACAGTCAGTAGAGTTGACTGTTTTTGACTGTTTCCTGTGCTCGTTTACAGTGGCATCACCAGCCTGTTGGATGCAAAGGAGGTGGGCGTCAAAATCTTTGAGGATTACGCCAGCTCGTGGTTTTGGATCCTAATGTATGTATAACCTCAGTTTTTCACCTTTAAGAAATGCAACAGATTGATACAGTATGGCTGATATGTGGTTCATGGGTGTTTTCAGTGGTCTGGTGATAAGTATGCTGGTCAGTCTGATCTTCATTCTGCTGCTGAGGTTCACCGCTGGCGTTCTCTTCTGGATGGTGATCTTTGGGGTCATCGCGGCTGTGGGCTATGGTTGGTGATGACTACAGAACACTACAGACTAAAACTCCAAAACTAAACTCGTATATACTAGACTTCAAAATGTAACAAATTATAGGGATAATTTACACAAAAATAAAAATTATATAATATGCTCTTGGATGGATGTCGTTCATCCAACAGAAAATCACAATTTTCAGACTTCAAAAAGTCCTTTTTGTCTTCTTTTCAGACCGATCTAATCAGTGAACCAAATGATCCAGTTCAAAAAACTAAATGCATCATTCATGATTCAGACTAATCTGGTTCTCTTGAATTCTCAGGCAATAAATGTTCACATTAAAAATTAAACCCTGATCTTGTAACTGACATTAACACTAAATTATGTGTTGGCTACGATAGTTTGTGAATGTCTCTGCATTGTGGGTTCAATTGCTGTGTCCTGACTGTTACTTACAGGAATATGGCATTGTTACTGGGAGTACAGTTCACTCAAGGGGAAGCCGGACTCTGACATTACCATCTCAGACATCGGATTCCAGACTGACTTCCGGGTTTACTTGCAGCTGAGTCAGACCTGGCTCATATTCAGTGAGATTTCTTCAGTTATTCTAATATATGAGTGTTTGTAGTGAAGTTGAAATCAGATAATGCATCTCAAACCAAGCAATGCAGCTGCACTGTCAAGTTGATGAAAGTTCAGTTTGATGGAAGTGAATGACAGCTTGATATTTTACCGCAGTGATCTCCTTGGCTGTCATTGAAGCTATCATCATCTTAGTACTGATATTCCTGCGGAACAGAGTTCGTATTGCCATTGCTCTTCTAAAGGAGGGCAGCAAGTAAGTTTCTTTCTGCCTGTCTTTCTCTCTTTTTCTTCTGTTTAATGGTGGTGCTTGGAAAGAATGGAAAAACGCCTGAAACAAAGCTGTCAAATGTTATTTTATACGTTATCTCTCTCTTTCCTACAGGGCGATTGGCTGCATCATGTCAACACTGTTCTATCCCATCATCACCTTCCTGCTTCTGGCTCTTTGTATTGCATACTGGGCTGTTACAGCTGTGTATCCAAATTTTAAATTAATTTGAATGCTGAATGAAGTTTAGTACTTTTTAATTTTAAGTGTAAATATTTTAATATTTGTTATTAATAATATAATAGATTAAAAAAAAATATATATATATATATGTGTGTGTGTGTGTATGTATATATATATTATAATTATTATATTTTTTGTAAAAATGTTAATTTATTAAAATGATTAATTAATTATAAAAAAAATATTTTTATAAAAACTTTAATAGTTTATTTTTTAAATATCAAATATAAAAAATTGTAAACAGTTAAATTTTTTTAGGTTTAATAGGTTTTGTTTTAATGCATGGCATTGGGACAAGACTATGTTTCTGCCATGGGATAAAAAAAATCTTAAAGGTAATTGTGACTATCTCGCAATTCAGACTTTTTTTCTTGCAATTCTGAGAATTGTGAGATTTATAAACAGACTTTTGAGCAATTCTGAGAAGACAAATCAGAATTGGGATATATAAACTCACATTTTCTAGACAAAAATGTCAGAATTGTGAGATAAAAAGTCACAATTTTTATTATGTGGCAAAAACAAAAGAAAAACTGAATTGTGAGATGTAAACTCCTCTAACTGTGAAAATGTAAACTCAGAATTGCAAAAAAGAAGTCTTAGAATAATTACCCTATTTTTTTCATTCTGTGGCAGAAACAACATTTGGTGGCACAGATATTACACATTTTAGCTTTAGCTAGTTTGTATTGTATTTTCGTTAACCACAACTTCTTTCAGTTTCCTGGCATCATCTGGTGACGCAGTATATAAAGTAATGTCAACGCTACCCGACTGCAAGTATACCAACCTCACCTGTGACCCAGAGGTAAGAACTAACCCTACTGTAATCTGTGATCATCTGAGATACACAGTGTACAGGTTTCATTGTACTACATTTTAAATATTAAATCCAGTAATTGGTTCACATTGGTGACTCCTTCCGTCTCTTTGATGTGTTTCAGACCTTCAGTCAATCCAACGTGACTAAACTGTGTCCAGGCTCCCAGTGCACATTTGCTTTTTACGGTGGGGAGAGTTTGTACCACCGTTACATCTTTGTTCTTCAGCTCTGCAATTTGCTGGTCTTCCTCTGGCTGGTGAATTTCACCATCGCTCTGGGTCAGTGCACCCTCGCCGGGGCGTTCGCCTCGTATTACTGGGCCTTGAGGAAGCCAGCAGACATCCCACCTTGCCCCTTGGCTTCATCATTTGGCAGGGCTTTAAGGTATGTTGCCATCTGTGGTCTTAGAAGCTTGTAGATGATTGATTGTGTCTGAGTGGAGAGCTGCTGGACTGAAATGAAATGTTCACTGTAATCACATTACAATGTTGTTCCAGGTATCACACAGGCTCTCTTGCGTTTGGAGCTTTGATTCTGTCCATTGTACAGTTCATCCGGATTATTCTGGAGTACCTCGACCACAAACTGAAAGGTATGAATCACATTTTAATTTTTAAAAGTTTTACTCATTTTCGTCATCAGTGATGGTCTCAGATGTCTCCATTTGTTACAGTTTCCACAAAAATATCAAGAAGACTGTTTCAACAATGATATATTCTATAGTGTAGAATACATTGTGAATAATGGTGCTTCTCTTTCTTCTGTTTTTGTCGCAGGTGCTCACAATGCATTTACACGCTTCCTGCTGTGCTGCCTAAAATGCTGTTTCTGGTGCCTAGAGCACTTCATCAAGTTCATGAACAGGAATGCTTACATTATGGTGAGTCGCTCCACTTTTTCAAGGTACAGGTATTTCATAACTTCATGCTGTGTATATATATATAACTACCATATAACAGCATATATTTTCAATGTGGATAACTAAATAGTTTCATTTGTTTAAATATGCCAATATCGAACCTGTGTTGTCAAGAAACAGACTGACAGAAAGAAGGAATGCATTGACATTTATTGTTCGATTTGATTCATGTCCTCAGATTTCAATATATGGGAAGAATTTCTGTGCCTCAGCGCGAGACGCTTTCTTTCTGTTAATGAGGAACGTTATGAGGTAAAACTGCACAGCTGCTACATTTATAATGTCATTGTCAAGGTGTGAAGCTGCAAGGACTCTGTCTCACACACGCACCTGTTTGAGAATTTGTTCCAGTTATTGTGACATTTCCAGGATGTTTTTAGGATGTTATTGTTTTATTAAGTTTATCACTGTCAAAATTAGCTAAATGTTGCCTCCATGTCATTAAAGAAATATGTTTTGTTGTCTGATGTTTTTCTTTTGTGTTCGACTTGTGAAACATCATTTTAACAAAAGCCATGCATGGAGAAAAACACATTGTTGTCTGCCACAACTCGTATTTGGACAAATATTGTTTTCTAATAAATTGCAAATTCTTTAGATATTTCATATAATAAAATATCTGGTTTACTTAAGAGCTCCAAGACTAAATATATAGCATCTGTTTATTATTCTGTGTGTTTTTCTCTAGAGTTGCTGTTCTGGACAAGGTGACTGACTTCCTGCTGTTCTTGGGCAAACTGCTGATCTCAGGGAGTGTGGGTGAGTCAACCTTTTCATCTGTGGCATACAGCCAGGCCAACATTAAAGGGGTCATATGATGCTTTTTTAAAGATCATTATTTTGTGTATTTGGTGTAACAGAATATGTGTAATCCAGGAAGAGGTGCCATCATTAAATTATTATTGGGTCCCTCTGCTGGTGAGTGCAAGCAATACAACTTCATGTTCTAGAAATTTTATATATTTTTATTTATTTATTTATTTGCATTTTATACATTTGTTAATTTATTAAGAAAATTCTTATGCAGTATTTAGTGATTTATATATATATAAATCAATATATTATAAATTAATGTTATAGTTAATTTATTTAAAAAACATATATATATATATATATATATATATATATAATACATAAGATAGCATTTATTTAATAAAACATTATTCAAATGCATTTATCAAGAGATATGTTGGGAACCCGGATTTATTCTAATGTAATTTCTCTTTTAATCTTTTTTCCCCATTCACAGACTGTGATATTTGGATCATATATGATTGCACACGGGTTCTTTAACGTCTATGCCATGTGTGTAGATACATTGTTCCTCTGCTTCTGTAAGTACACCTTATTAAATCTGCAGAATTCACTTATGTGTGTTTGGTAATAAATGCTGAACTTTATGATGTTTTCAACTTTTTTCAAAAGCTAGTTTAGTCCTTGATAAATACTGTACATACCCACCCACTGGTCTTCCTGTACCTTTCCTCTTCTTCTCTGTGCATGACTTCGATCACTTCTGTTCTCTAATTATAATACTGATGTAATCTTTGTGTATTTATCCTTTTCACTTCTTCTTTTCAAACTGCATGACTGCTGACTAACTCTGCTTTCTTATTTCTTTTTCCCTTTTCCTTGAAACCCTCTGTCTTTCCTCCTTAACTCTTCCCTTCTTCCGTCGTCTGATTTGACGGGACACCCTTCAGGTGAAGATCTTGAAAGGAACGATGGCAGTCCTTCCAAACCGTATTACATGCCTCCAGGCCTGCACAGGATACTTAACAAAACTGATCAAGGAGGCAAAAAGTATGCAGTGTCCTGAAACCGTCTCCTCAGTGGGACATGAAGAACCGTGCTAGTACTGTAGCACGCTGCATCTCTCCCGCAGCACAGCAAAGCCTTCTGGGATATGGAATCAGATAGCATTTACAGAAGCGATCTTCTCTCTGCACTGTCTGCTGATACTGACTGACTCCTGCTGTACTTTTTTCCTTCTTTTTCTTTTTGCTGATAATTCTGTCCATCATTGCCTTACCCATGTTTGTCTTCTGGAGCAAAGGTCTGATAATACTCTGGTAATCGATGATGAAAGCAAGTTATTCTCTATATTTACTTTCTTTATATTGCAAGTATCCTCTTTCTCTTTCTATACAGTCCTTTGTTTTCATGTCATTTTTGGTTTAGAAGTTCATACAGTACATTGATGTGCATGTGGATGGATTGACCGAATTCTTAGTCCACATGATTTTAATATTAACTTTGTCATAATCTATTGGAAAATGCTATTGTATTGGAGGAATCTTAATCGATACAGTGTATTATTCTCTTATAACCATGTTTTGATAGAATCTATTAATTTTCAGGTGTTCTGATGGCAGTATTTAGTAACTGTGCCTGGTTTAAAAGGAAGCGTGCCAATCTTTTTTGCAATCAATCTGAAAGTTTTTCAAGTTCAATTTATAAAAGGAACATAACAGCCATTTTTTTGTAATTTTGTAGACCGGTTTGATGCTGCGTCTACTCTGTGAAGTTCAGTATACAAGTTGTCTTTTAATGGGGGAAAGTTTTGTAAAAAGGTTGTTTTTTTCCCCCATTAGAATAAAGCTGAACCTAAATATCATGAATGGTTTGATTCTTTCATTTTTCTTTCATTTTTCAGAATGCTAACAAATTTTATTATCAATATTATTCATTCCATTCTCAGCTTAAAATATATGCTGTTAAAAACTTTGGGATAGTTAAGATTTTTTTGTTTTTGAAAGACGTCTCTTATGCTCACCAAAGTTGCATTTATTTACAGTAAAAGAGTAATATTATGAAATATTGAAATTTAAAAGAACTATTTTAATATATTTTAAAATGCAATTTATTCCTGTGGTGGCAAAGCTGAATTTTCACATGATCCTTCAGAAATCATTCTAATATGCTGATTTGGTGCTCAAGAAACATTTCTTATTATTATCAATGTTAAAAACTGTTTTTGCTGCTTAATGTTTTTGCATAAACCGTGATTCACTACCATTCAAAAGTTTGTGGTAAGAATAAAAAAAAAAAAAAAATTATATTTTTATTGCATTATTTTTTTATAGCATGCACACATTGAATTGCTAAATATATAACGTTACAAAAGATTTCTATTTCAAACTTTGTGTTCATCTAAGAATCCTGGAAAAAAATGTATCACGATTTCCACAAAAAATATTAAAGGGTTAGTTTACCCAAAAATGAAAATGAGGCTGTGTTTTACTCACCCCAGAGCCATCCTAGGTGTATATGACTTTCTTCTTTCAGACAAATCCAGTCAGAGTTATATTAAAAATTGTCTTTGATCTTTCAAGCTGTTTAATGCCACTCTTCTAATTAGTGACCGTTGTTTTGTTTTGATCTCTCCGCTGCGTTTCCGCGTGCGTCACTTCTGAGCAGCGCATGCGCAAAGCCGACCTGATACGTCATCCTCCCGGAACTGCTTCCGTTTACAACAGTGAGCGCAAGCTAGATTAAAGTGATTATTACTAGTGATGGCGAGATGAAGCCTTATGAAGCATTGAAGCTTTTCAACCAAGTGGTTCACAAAAGGGTTCATTTCTCGAGGATTCATTTGCTCACAATACCACCTGGTGGACAAAGAGTGTAAAACATGCAGATACATTACAGATGACCTGATGTGAATCTATGATACACTGTTTTGCGCCAGTTAAGGCTTAGAAATAACGGTATTAGTCTAAAACTGGAAAGTGGCTGAGTTTAACAGGGCAGAGGACTGCGAATTTACAAGATTCGAACCGCTTCCTGAACTAGTCGGGCCAAGCGAGGCTTCGGACGTCATCAATGACGTCATTGCTCTAAAGCGATACAAGCCTCGATACGTGCTTCACTGAAAGCTGCCGGGATTTCTCGACACGCTCCGAAGCCTCGGCACAGAACGTAACATCACTAATTATTACGTTTTGAATATGGATATTTTTCTTACAAAAACGCATCGATTCGCTACAGGAGGCCTTTGTTCACCCCCCGGAGCCGTGTGAGACACTTTTTTTTAAATGGATGGGCGCTTTTTATTTCACTTCTTTTGGACTGAAGCACTGCAACACCCGCTGACTGCAATGATAGAGCTTGGAATAGCCAGGACAATTTTTAATATAACCCCAACTGGATTCGTCTGAAAGAAGAAAGTCATATACACCGAGGATGGCTCTGGGGTGAGTAAAACACAGCCTCATTTTCTTTTTTGGTTGAACTAACCCTTTGAGTAGCAATTGATGCAAAAATCACATGAGCGATTGGTTGGCATTGACATTGCTTGTGCTCCTGTTCTCAGTGCTTGATCTGGAGAAGAACGACGGCTCGGCGACCCGGCCGTATTACATGGGCAGCAGCCTGCGTGCCATCCTCAACAAGAAGAACAAGAGACCAGAGGAGAAAAAGAAACGTAGAAAACATAAGAAGGAGCAACCAAACAAAAGGCACTGACATGTAAAACACAGATTCTGGTTATTATGGTAAATGGACTGATTTAAACAATATTCAGTCATGTATGTAGATAGTTTTGTATTATAAATCTCATTAGAAGCCCAAAAATTTAAATACAAGAATCTTTGTACTGATCTGCATCTTTCTGGTTATTATGCAAGTAAATATAATTGACAGTAAGCAACTAAATGAATTGAGATGATTTCCTGTTTATGGATGTATGGAAATGTCTTTGTGTGGATTTTTGTAGATTTTTGTCATTTTTTTAACCAATTCTTGTCTTTTATATGACCATTGCATTTTGTTAGCACCCATTTGGGGTGAAACTGACACTTCTCTCATATTGAGAAAATAACCGGTAACATTTATTCGCTGTTCACTAAATGAATTTTTCTCAACTTTTGTAAGTTGCTGTTTGTAATTTCAGTTCAGCTGAAGTGCCTTATTCGAACACGCAGTTAACAGCTCTTTTAACCTCAACCACATGTTGATATGAGCCATTTTCTGCTGTGCAGAGCTTCTAACTCTATTTATTCTTTCATTACTGCTCTTATTCATCCATCCAACTGCATTTCTCATCAGGCCCAATGCTCTCTAGCAGTAGGAGGTTACACTCCTTCAGTGTGATTTTATTGTGTCCGTTCACACTTCATTTTAGCCAAGGAAGGACTTGAATTTATCTTAACACCTTCATATGAATATGTGTACAGAGTAGTGGTAGTTATTTTATGTGAACTAATTTCTGCTCATATTTTGAAGCATTCGTTTATTTTAATAATTTTTATTAAAAAAAAATTTTTGCTGTAGTTTTTCTTTTGAGTATTAAGAGTGTATTCTTTACCAGTTTTATGTTGTTTAAAAACACTTGAATGTGAACAGTCATACAGTGAGTGCATGTTCTGGATTGTTATTCAGCTTTCATTATTCATCTAAATTGTATTTTGAGTTTAACACTTGTCTAATCATGTCATTAATATGTAACTATTTAATTATCTTCATAATTTACAGTGTGGTACACATTTTTACTATTTTTGTAAGCATATATTTTGCAAAGCTTAATAACACTGTATGATGTAATCCAAGTGCAAGGATAATTTCGGAAATAAAGTATTTCATATAGACATGTGACAAGTTATTTATTTTTAGTTAAACCACATGGGATATGAACAAAACACAATAATAAATAAAAACTAGTGCTGTCAAATGATTAATCGTGATGAATCGCATCCAAAATAAGTTTTTGTTTACATAATATATGTGTGTGTGCTGTGTATATTTATGTATATAAAAAAGCACACACATACAGTATATATTTTGAAAATATTTACATGTATATATTTATATTCATATAATTTATATTATATATAAATATATATTATATAAAAAAAATTCTTAAATATATACATGCATGTGTTTGTATTTATATATATATATATACATAATAAATATACACGGTACACACGTGAAAAAAAAAACACGTTTATTTTGGATGCGATTTAATCGTTTGACAGCACTAATAAAAACATAAATTAATCCATTAAATACAAAGGTATTAGCGGCGGCATAAATGTAGTTACAACAACTGGCACAACATTTACAACTGAATTGTAAACCGTTTAGCTGCTGCTGATTGGTAGATGTGTTGATTTTTGGGACAGTAACGGTTGATAGAGTAGAGATGATGGCGTGTGCACAAAAAAAAAAAAGAGAAACAAAGCCATTAACAAAAGCACAAACACACAGGGACAAATTTATGTCATCCTAACACTGGATACCTTTTCCATTAGCAGTTTTAGTAATATTCATCAAAAACTGATAATAAATGTACTAATGTCCTATTTAAGGAATGTATCTGATTGTACTACATTTCCTCAGATCTCACCATCAATGCAGGTGCTGTGCAGTGCCGTAAGCAGGGATGTGTGTGAATAGTGCTGCTCATTCAGGGTGGACACGGACTGGAGTGAAGACATATCTCCTGTGGGTACTGCTGAACGAGGGGGAGAAATGTGCTTCTTATGACGGGCGCGACAGTTTTGAAACCAAACCTGGCCAGAAAGAAATTCAAAGAAATTACTTTTAGACAGCATATGAGCTTTCTTCTGTTGCCACATACCGTAAACCATGCTAACATTTTTATACGGCTTAATTTAGGCACTTCAGAAATTGCTAAAGAAATGTAACCTGAATGACGCGTCGGCTAAGGCCAGTCTGTTCAGCAAGCCTCTGAAGTGTCTGTGCGTCTGGGTTATTGTCCTGAGCAAACTGGGCCTGCATAACCTGCAAGCCACAAACATCAAAATAGTGTCAACAGGGCCAGAGACATTACGCCAGAGGGAACTCTCTAATATGGTTTGATTACAAGTAGCAACAACATAGCAGGGATCCATTATTGCTTATATACTGAACTTCATTTTAATAAGACTTCAAACCCCAGAACTCAGTGTGTGGCGCATATTGAACCACGAGAGCGATGCTTTTGTTTACCTGTAGCTGGTCTGAAGTGAAACTGGTACGTGCTCTTTTAGATGGTTTTTGGTTTATTTCACAGCCTGTATGCAACACACCTTCAGGAGAGACGTTTTTTCCTGGAATAATAAAAGGTAAGGCAAAGGTGTAGTTATTTATAAGACATACTGAGCATGCTACAAACCAGAAGACATCAAAACCAAACAACTGCTTTATTCTTCCTAAGATGTTACTGGATTAGTTTTACATACTCTAGTTTCTAAAAAAAATGTAATGGCTTTCATTTCTTCATAAAATGCGTGTGATTTTTGTTGGAATATATTCTTCTATATCTGAAGCCATGATCATTGTCTGGCAGAGTAACTTGTTGGTAAGTGCTTACTAAGTCATAATTTTGAGAAAGTTTCTCATTATTATGACTTACAGAATTATATTTTTTCTCAACTGTGGCGGAAACGGGCTTCCATAGGATATGTATATGGCCAAAAATTAACATGAAATTCTGAAACCTTTAAATCGGAGACATCTTTCTAGCAGACTTCTTACATGAAATGCTTATAAATATCAGTCAATATCTCACAATAAGGTGTCTTAGCAAGATTATATTTAATCAGTTTATGATCAAATCTCTAGTTTTAATTATTGGGGCAAAACAAAATGCAATGCAATACAATGATGATTGAGAAATAAACATTCCTCAAAAGCCTGATGTATTGTATTTTATACATTTTAAAATGATGTAAAATGAAGACATGTACCACAACCCAAAGGTGGACATTTTTGGAATTACACCAAAAAGCTTCTACTTGTGTGTAGTATTTATTTTTCTACTTTTTTTTTCAGCAAAGTTTATGCAAGATCATTTAGAGGCCTTAGAAATGTGATTATCAGTTATGATACAGCAGGCTTTATAGGGTTAAAGCGCACACCCTGTGCGCATGCAGGACTCTCAACTTACCTTTTTCAGCAGCACCTTTGAGTTTGTCCAGCATGCTGTCGTAATGAACTCGACACAACAATTTTTGTCTGCAATACAATGATGATTGAGAAATAAACATTCCTCAAAAGCCTGATGTATTGTATTTTATACATTTTAAAATGATTTTTCTAATACATGGATAATCAAATAAACGAATAAAATCAAATAGTTGCTTTAGTCCAGTAAGTGTTCATCTTGAAATATTACTATCAATATATATATTTTTTACATTTACTTTACTTTTCACTTCAATCAGTAAAGATTTCACACCAAAAAGACATGTACCACAACCCAAAGGTGGACATTTTTGGAATTACACCAAAAAGCTTCTACTTGTGTGTAGTATTTATTTTTCTACTTTTTTTTTCAGCAAAGTTTATGCAAGATCATTTAGAGGCCTTAGAAATGTGATTATCAGTTATGATACAGCAGGCTTTATAGGGTTAAAGCGCACACCCTGTGCGCATGCAGGACTCTCAACTTACCTTTTTCAGCAGCACCTTTGAGTTTGTCCAGCATGCTGTCGTAATGAACTCGACACAACAATTTTTGTCCAACCAAAGCAAACTCCTCGCCTGTGGACAGCTGCCTCTTACAAGAGAAGCACAAGAAACATGCCAGGTGGTAAACATTTCCCTTCGCCCTGCGCACCCAGTCTGTGGAGTGAACCGTTTCACCGCAGCATGAGCACCATGTTCGATACCTCCTGTCAAGCCATAATGGATTTGGTTAAATACACACTGAAACATCTTGTCTGCATATGCATAATGTACATCTTTCAGAAGTAGCTACCTGAAGTAATCTAGTTTGCAGAAGACCTCTCGCTCTCTAACGTAGCAGGTTGTGTGTCCGCTCAGAGTGGTTTGGCACACACTGCATGAAAGGCAATGCACATGCCAGCACAAGTCATTGACCTGCATTCAACAAGAAATTTTATTACAAACGGAGAATCAACTGATGGAATTGATCATACAGCATTTCAAATAGTCAATGAAATGAATAAATATTAACCAACGTTAAATGATCCTTCTCACCTTAAGCAGATACTGGTCTAGGATGTCCTCTCTACACCTTGTGCAAACTGCTTTGCCTTGGAAAGAATCAGATGCCATTGCTTGAGGTAGAGCAGATGGAGAAGACCGGCCATTCAGAAGTTCTGATGAACTCTGTAGAAACAGAAATTCTATTTGATCGAACATTTCAAACATACAGAAAATTTTATTTGTTCCACACAACTGTAAACTATAGTCAAACTGCGCACTTCTGTAAAGCACAGATAAACGCATTGGGTTAGGGAAATGCGTCTTATAAATGATATTAAATAGGCTAATTCTACATTTAATTCAATTCCACGATCAACATTTTATGTACATATTAAATGTACATTTTTAATCAAATGTACATTTTTAATCAAAAATGTAGTAACGAAAAAAAATCGTATCTTTGGTACGTTTTACGAAAAAATATCGCGTTCGCGTGCGGTAACCACAGCAACCGTGGCTCGTGCACTTGTAGGCTATCCGTACACCAGCAACTCATCATAGGTAGGCTATTGTCATTATTTAACGCTTTATTCTATCACATGTGTATCACAAAAACTGTAAAACTATTTAAAATTTAAAAAGTAGGCTATTTAAATAAAACCCGAAGAATTAGCCAACCTATTAGCAAAACGTTGACCTATACATCGTAGATTCGTAGTATATAAATATGTATATTTACCATACAAATGTCGCTTGTAACTCCTCTGCACTTGCTGATAAAATCCTCACTGCGATCCATAGACATGACTGTAGTGAATGCGCTTCGGATTTCCCGCACCGAAACACATGCAACCTTTAAATGTGCGCGCTTCATCCCCATAAACATCATCCACTCTCCTCTTCACCATGACAACCGCAACAATTACCAAAACTACATTTACGACTTCCAGAATTCCAGTCATTGTTAAAACACGTCCGACTCTTAGAGTAATGGTTATCTGTGCAGTATATTATGTACTTGAAATCCGCATTAGGGATTCGGAAACGGTTCACACATAATGCCTTCACCCCAAACGTATCAATTACGCATGCCAATCAAAACCTCTGAAGAATCAGTGGAAGAAGAGAATTGATTTATTTAATAACACCAATTAAAACCCCGCGTTTGGCAAAAACGCGCAACCAGAGCAACCCAAAGGTGAAGAGGTCTCATTAAACTCTTGACACTTAATTGCCACCATTTCAAGGCGGGTCTTTTTCTTCTTCTGGTATAATTTAGGGGAAATGGTGGAAATATTTCGCCCGAACTGTGGATGGAATACA